ATACAAACCAATAATTCATAAAAACAAAAAAGATCAAAATTATATGGCTTTATAAAATAATGAAAGTGGAGTTAAAAAAAAAAAAGAATTTATACAATTAAGGTGCAATAAAAAATTAATTAAATGAACATTATTTAAGTATTAAAATATTGAGGATTATGATTTCTATATGAAGTTAACTTTTTTTTTTTACCATTATTTTGCTTCGGCATGCAATTAAGTAGGAAAAAAAATTGACGACATGAAACCATCAATCCTTGTATTTATTCCAATAATTTGTAAAACCTCATGTAGAGATAAGCCCCCTTTTCACTGGGAAACCTGTAAATTGATAACCAATATCAAACTCATTAAACTGCATCTATTGCATTGGTTTGCAAACCTATCATTGCACTCTCACATTTGCACACATTTTTTCTTCTGTTCATTAACTATATAATAGATAAATTAATTAATTATTTATAAATAAAGTTTTGAGAGAATTTTTTTTCTAGATGTTTTCTTAGAAAACGACTGAAATCTATAATCAATTCGATAAACAATATCTTGAATAATAAGCAGACAAGCCCTTTAAACATGTATTTATAGTTATTATAAAACAAACCTGAAGTACATAATTATAAACATTTATACAAGTAACAAAGAACGATCGTAGTTAATAATAATTGATGACTAAATAATTAAAGTTAGGGAACAACGTTTAGGTATTGTTTTTTTGGTAATTATATAGTTGAACTCCGTCATCTCCAATTTCAATAGGAAAAACTAATCTAATTTGTTTAATTTACTTAAATTTAAAGCCACGATGAGTGCAGGTCCAAAAAGTAAGAAATTAGACACAAGTATAATTGGTAGAGTGTAACTAGAAGGTTCTGGGTTCGACTCCCAGCTAAATAAGTTGCTTCTTTCTGAAAAAGTAGGCCTGCACAAGTCGTGGGAGACTGTAAATGAAAGAAGGAGAATGAAGGAGCTATAAAATAATATTATCTTTTTTTTTTAGATTTCATAATTGATATTGATTGTTATCATTTAAATATTTTATCACAAGTCATTGTTAATTTTTTTATTGAAAACGACTTGAAACATTGTTTTATTATTAATTGATGGGTCAACTGTAGAAATATTAACGTGACATTCTTACGAATACTGCGTACCATTTTGACAGGTGGTGATTACAACCGCTGGAACTACTCTAATGGATATGTGAACTCACCCGCTTGGCACGTGCCATTTCGGGTCAATCCTGTACGAAATGTATTGGCTCATGCAACACCACGCAACCTGACTAATCGGTTCTTACCAGTCTATCCAGAATGAGCTAACCGCACGTGGGGTAATATTTAAGCCAATGAAAAAACTCGAGTTAATGAAAATAACTAAATGAACAAAGAACAATGTTGATATATACATATATTGAGTTTAAAATTTAATTAAAATGTCAAGTAGTGAATGAGCTGAGTACCACGTATCACGACACGGAGAACATCGTACGAGCTCCAGTAGATTCATTCTATTAGAATCATGTTTAAGAAGGTCCTTCTGAAAATTTGTTATTACATTTAAACTATCATATTAAATGTTAATACACGAAGAAAAAATTTCGTCAAATTTTACTGAGCAACCCAATTAATTTATTGGATATTGTTAGAAGGAACTTCTTAAGTAGTTGCATCTAATCACAAAACAATCACACTTCCTGATCTGTCACATATTTTACATCATTAGAACACATTCACCTTTTTACCATTATTATTGGAAATATTTTAAAATATTTACAAAGTTATGCAAGAAATTGTAAATAAACTTTTAAGACTTTTTTATTCATATTATTAAAGATTTAATTGAATTCTATTACTCTCTTACTACAAATTAATTCCAAATTATATTGATTTTATTTTTTATAGATAACAGTTATTGAAAATGTGTCTACATGCTTGTTTAGAGTAGAAGTATTAACAGAAATATATCCTATTGTTTTCTGAAGGTTATCAATTTAAAATTAATCATAAATAATCATTTTTAAATATTCATTATTGATTAATATCATTAATTACAGACTCTTTTAAATATTCTAGTTGTTTGTAAAACATTTACACTCTTTTTCTGTGTCCTGTGTTGTGTGGTACTTAGCTTCCCGCATCTATCACATCAATTAATTGATTGATTGACTGTTATTACCCCACCCAAAACTATCGAGTAGTGACCTTTTTTTTAATTGTCACATTACTATTGATATATTTGAACATTATAAATAATGCAGTGTCAACTCACAGCTATTGAATATTAATAATTTAATATTTCATTCGAATTATCAATATTTAGGCAAACTTTGATTCTTTTGGAGCAAAAAAATGCATTTATATAAAGAATTCTAATATGGGTCCAAAATGTTTCCACTTGTTTGGTGAATTGTGATGGTACAGTGGAGTTTATATTTTTGTTTACTGCTAGAAACAAAAATTCTTTCATTTTTGATCCATTCCTAGCTCAACATTGGTCTGATGTACCTTGACTTGATCCAGTATTTGTTCCTACCAGGATTAAAACTGATAAGCCTCTTTCTAGATGAGAAGTATTTTCTTCTTTACCTTTTCCTGTGATTATTGTATTTAATATTTGGATTTATATCTTCCTTTTTTTTGTAATTCTTTCCAAGTGTTCTTCACAGTTAATTCTTTTTCCAGTATGAACTGAAAAAGATATAAATTTTTTTTTAAATGAGTCATTGATTTTCTTATCATTTTGAATTTTATTATCATTGTTGAAATAGAGACTCAACTGAAATATTTGATTCTACAATAGTAAATGTATTAAATATCGAAATGCTTTAATAGTTATTCACTGATGAAACAATAATTCATTTAAATACAGTGGGTTGACATGACATTACACAGATTGTTCACTTGAATATCAATACTTTTTATTAATCAATTTAAACGACCTATATCCATTTAGTAGGCAATTTATGGCAAATAATTTGAACTCTTTCGTTTGCCTTTTTAATGTGAATTTTCTAGTCTGAATCAATAAATGCATTAAAAATATTTTAACCAATTATTTAAGATAAAATTTTCAATTTTTGATGAATGGAATCAATAATTTTTTTATTTTATTCATCTATTTTAATTGTAGACTTTAATTATAATCATCACCTGTCGATTTTTGCTACAGTCAGTGCTCTTAGGAATGTCTCAAAACTCATCAAACTAACCTCTAATTGAAAACAATCCCTTTATACAAATAATTCATCAACACATCCCAATTTCTCATGAGCTCTTTAATTAATTGAATTTTTATTGAAACTTATCACGAAATTATGCATGTTATTTCATAACAATTAGTGTATTATTGCTCGTTATGTCACAATGAGTGAAAATAAGTGAAAAAGAAACCGAATGAATGAGTGTGACCGAATAAAAGACAAAAACAAGAGAGCAAAAAACAATTTCTCAAGTTGAGAGAGTTTTTATGTGTGAAAAATTTTTTAAGAGCTTAAATGAAAGAAAAAAAAACTAATTGAATATTGAATACTGTTTTTTCTCTTAGATCGATTTCCGAATTATTCATGTTGCACCGTTGACATTATTAATCATTGTCGTCATAATTGTTGTTATCATTATTGAACTAATTCTTATCATGTTCTCGAAAAAGATGGTATTGAATAAAAATAAGTAATAAATAATTCAGTAATTAATGAAATAATGAATAATAATTATTAAAGAAATAAAAAATAACGGGATAAGTATTATCTTTAAGGTTATAAAATCGTCAGTTATTCATTTATGATAAATATAAATAATTAGTTATTAATTTTATTAAATAATCGAGGAGAAAAAAAAAACAAACACCAAAAATTCGATATTGTTCTCTGATGTTAGTTAAAAAAAACGCGAAAACGTAATTTTTAAAAGCGAAAAATTGATTTTGAAAATTTTATTAAAATTAATTAATAATATCTGACGAATTTACATATTGAATCATTATTGATATCATTCGTCTTCTTGCATATAAAAGTGTTAGTTTTTAAGAATAATCGCGATAATTTTTTAATTACGATGCTTATTAATAAATAATTACGTTATTTGATAAATCAAATTATGCTCTTCCTTGTACGGAAATAAATCACAAAATCCGATAATTATGTACACGCTAAGATAAGAAAGATAAACGTGATGTCAACTAAAATAAAAAATAATTTATGATTAAATGAATGAAAAAAAAACAAAAACAACTGTAGGGAATTTATTGTACATTGATTATTGATACATAATAATATTAATAAATTATATACAAAGTCATTTACAGGCATTAGTAATTTTTATTATTTTATTTTAGAAATTTTATATATTTTTTAAAAAAAAAACAATTATTTTTAATGATTACATAGTTTTATTTTTCTTTTAAAAATGAGTTTTTAGAAAACTCAATTTTTTTTTTGTTGAATTTTGTAAAATTTTTCTTTATTAAATCGCACTCCTGGAATTGTTGGTCAGCTGGATGACAATACCAAGTGTGAGTAATCCCGAAGAGCAAAAAAAGTCTTTATTGTTTGATACGATAATTACTCTTTCAATAATTAGCACTTTAAAATAATTTTATATTCATTCGTATGTTCGTTTTTATTCATTATTTACATCGATGTAAATTTTTCCCTCAAAATTAGGCAATATTTTCTTTTAATGCACTTGTGTCCCATTAAATAATAAATGTATACGAAGGACAAGCCAATTTTTTTTTGTCTAAACAACAAAAAAAAAGAATGCAACTATAAATATGCATGATAAAATGTTCAAAAGCACGTTAATAATTTATGTTATAATTTACGTAAATGCAATGAAGTTGTATATTTTTTATTTTATCTAAAGAGAGAATTTATTTATCATAAACGCTGCAATATTGCATGATAATCCTGAGTTGGCCTTATTATTCCAAGTTTTTGATCTATTTTTCATCAATATCTGCTGAACAATTATAGATTACTAACTAATATCTTCTTACAGATGGTGTAGAGAATTGTAAACAGGAGCCACCGGAGGAAATATCGAAAGGGGAAAATAACAATTTATTATACCTCAATGGGAAGCCAGATAATCAATCAAATGGAGGACCAGATATGAGTGTGAATGTAAATGTTAATGTGATTAATTCTGTGGAATCGAGTCCAGAGAAAAGTTCTAATGTGATGAAGAATGGTGGTGTTGAGGATATTGATATAAAAAAAACTAAGGTAAATACATAAATATGAAATGATTATAAATCAGAAGATATTTACATTATTTCATTAATTCAAGCTCTTTCAACTTATTATTATTCTTATCAAAATTAAACCCATCTAATTTATTGTTTAATAAATTAGGATTTATATTTCAAATAATAAGCTGGTAAATATAATTAAACATAAAAAAGAACGATTAAATTATAAATTGTCTACAAAAATTTTGAATTCATCGTTTTTAATAATATTAAAAAAAAAATATTAATAGTGTAGAAGTGATATGCAGTAAAGCTTTAGGTTTGATGCAGGATATTTATTTTTCCATTCAATAAGAAAATATAAAAAGATTAAAATAGAGTACATATATATATATATATTAAGTCTTATATACACATAAATAATGATGGCTATAAGATTTGCTTAATGGAACGACTTAGAATGGATTGGCTACTTGCTTATTCAGTGTACGTTTCTTTAATAAACAGCCAAAACTCCAGAATACATTATAAAGGTGATTTTCATAATAAATACGCATACTTTGATATTTCCTAATAGAATCTCATAAATTTAAATTATTATAAAACAATTTATCTTGTAAAATGATTTTTATTATGTACTTTATGATAAAGTTTTGAATTTTATTTTTAATATAGGAAAAGTTTTGATTCATTTGTAAGCAGTTTTTACTTTTACATTGATTCAATGTTGAGATGTATAATAATACCATTCATTAAAGTTTCTACCAACTTGTTTATCAATCACGTGATATAGATATAAATATAATCAATCGATTAAACGATATTCAATTTCTAAAATAGAACGTTATTTTTGAACTACCAATAGCCATTACTTTTTTAATGGAATAACGAAAAGTGATTTCACAATGTATTACATTTTATGTATCGACATATATCTAATAGTTTTATTATTTTTGTTTTTTTTTTGTAATATAGAGTTCTAAAAATCGTTTAAATGTCGAGGATGATTGGCAATCAATAATAGAGCTTTTTTGTGTATTGTTTTTTTATTGTATTAAAGTGACATAATTTTTATTTACAGAGATGGCCGACAGATAAGGCTTATTATATTGCCAAAGAGCTTCTGATGACTGAAAGAACATATAAAAAAGATTTAGACGTCATTAATGTGGTAAGATAATTATCTAAAATAATTTTTCAGTGAATAGATTGTACATGGGATATAATCAACCCCAATAGGCGCAATTAAATTCATGCATTTTCTTATTTAAATACCTTTGAAACATTTTTTGGATTTAATATACATGTTTTTGACAGTGTACTCCAAAAGATGTCATAACAATTTATATAAAAACATCATTCAGATAACTCTGTAACCGTAATTGACATCAATAGAAACGTAAATGTGTCTGGTAGGTAGTACGTCTGGTGCTGATAGGTGTACAAATTTAAGTGATTTTTTTTTTTTGAAAGTACATAGTTGGTACAGAAATATTTTACTCAGATTTCTGTTGAGAGGTTGAAAGTTATTTGAGATTAGAAACACTTGAGATGGATTTTACCCCATGTGCAGTTGAAGGTTTTAAATCATGGTAGATGGAATAAAGATCGAATCTTTTTAGCTTTCTATTTCATTCTTTTCGATGGGAAATAATTAAAAATTTAAGCAGTTCGTTGATGAAACTATTAAGTTTATATTAAATATAAACGCAGTCACATTAGATCATTTGTGTGAAAAGACCTCATTCACAACTTTGACTATCATGATTGAACCCCGGTTGGTAATTCTGACATTTAATTGCATTTTGTCTCCAATTCCCCAACACCACATAAGACCTTCCCTTGCCACTTACCTGAATGTCTACTTCTCTCTGAGATGGAGTGATTCTCTAGACACTTATCTTATGATTGGATGCATTAATGCTTTAACCTAGTGACCTTTCATAGTAATAGACATTTTTGTTTTTCAGTGGTTTAGAGAGGAAGTAGCACGAGAATCAGATCTAGAAGGTGAATCAGCGGTAGGATTAATTGAATTACTAGCAGACGCACATGGACCATGTCTACAAGAAATGGAAGCTCGACTTGCAAGATGGGAAAATAACGCACGACATAATATTGGCGATTTTCTGTACAACACTTTGCTTAATGTGCTTCCACTTTACGATCAATATCTCGAGCATCTTATGCCAGTACTTGAGAAGATGGAGTATTCAATGCGAACATCTCGTCGGTTCGATCAACTGTGTAAAGAGTTTGAAGCTCAAAAATATTGCTATTTACCACTTAGCTCATTCCTCTTGAAACCATTGCAACGATTACTGCATTATAACAGTATTATCGATCGACTATTGGATCATTATCCAAAAGATCATACAGATTTTGAAGATTGTCTAGCTGCTAGAGATAGACTTGGTGAGACACTTCTCGAGGGTCTTACTGTTTTAAATCAAGCGGAAAATCTAGTTCAACTTTGTGAATTACAAAGAGACATCAGCGGGTTTGAAAACTTGGTCCAGGAAGGAAGAAGATTCATCAGACAGGGATGTCTTCAAACTTATAGCCATAAAGGCTATCAGCAAAGGATGTTCTTTTTATTTTCAGACATTTTACTTTATACATTCCGAGTTCAGCAACCTACTCAATGTTTCCGTGTTCATGGTCAACTTCCATTAAAGGGAATGACGATTAAAGATGGTGACAATAAAACTGGAACGGATTTCGTATTTGTTATTAGTCAGGGTAGTCAATCATTAACTGTAGCAGCTAATAATGAGGAAGAGAAAGAACGATGGCTTGAGGATTTAAATATGGCCATTACACAACTCGATTCAGTTGATGGAAAAACTCCATATCTGAGTTTAAAATCATCTAGTATGTATTTTACCAGCTATTTAAACTTTATAAAGTTGCTATTTTGAATGCAATGCTACACTTCACTCAAGTTTCTTTATTTTATGCCTGTAAATTACGCTTTAAATATTATTAAAATTCATCCAGTTTTCTCATAATTCTTTTATAATTTGAACCAACTTATTAAACTATTTAGAGCATGATAAAATATTTTATCAAGATATTTGATAATTTTTATTTGATTATTCTTCTTCTAATATATAAAATTCTGGTTGAGTATTTTTACATTTCAAACTTACATTAAATTGATGAATAAACCAAACTTGTATCCACATTTCGACATAGACAAATGATTTTTTTGTAATAGTTTTAGGAGTTGGCGATGAAATTGGCCTGGAACTCGATAGATCGAGTTGTGGTGGAGTAAAAGCATCTCAAAGAAGTAATTCAACCGTTCACGTATGCTGGCATCGTAATACAAGCATTAGTTATAGCGATCAATTGCGTGCTTTTCAAAATCAACTCAGTGGATTTTTATTGAGAAAGTTTAATAATAGCGATAACTGGCAAAAACTTTGGGTAGTTTTTACCAATTTTTGCCTCTTTTTTTATAAATCACATCAAGATGATTTTTCACTTGCATGTTTACCACTTCTTGGATATACAGTCTCAACTCCGTCCGAAAAAGATAGAATCAATAAGGAATTTGTATTTAAATTACAATTTAAAAGACATGAGTACTTTTTCCGAGCTGAAAGTGAATATACATTTGGCAGGTAAATAAATATTTAATTATTAATAATTTTAGTGCTGAAAAATTTTTAAATTATTAAATCAATGTTTTTTAAAATATAATTTATTTTATTACTATAATTGTAATATTATTATATTATTGTTACAGATGGATGGAAGTGATAAGAAGTGCAACACAACAAAGTCACATTCCTGTCAATTTTGCACAAAAAGAGAATTATTAATTTTCATTCATTGATTAGTAAAAAAAAAATGTATTCATCAATTGCATTATTTTTATGTTAATTTTTATATTTTAATAGGAAATTTACATAAATGCAATTATTTCATTATCGATAATTAATTATCACTAACAAGTATATTTCACTTTTTTAAAAATCAAAATTGCGGCCTTAAATCATTTTAACGTTTAAAAATATCGTTAATAAGGTTATAGATAGATTCTTATAGTCTCAATGATTTGTTATTAATTATGTTTCAGAACGATTTTAGTTGATTGTTTAATGTAAATATTATTGGCCTAATAATAATTATATCAAAAGTTAGGTATTGTTTATGATAAATTGTAAAAAATATGAACTATTTCATATTTTATCAGGGGGTCATTTTATTTATAAAAAAATGTGTCTTTTGTAAGCGACAATAATTTTATTGACATTCATAACTAACGAATTCAAAATTTACCTTTGAAGAAAAATTTATTCATCAATTTCATAAGCTGTTATATCACTTTACATTGTTTCTAACATTTCAATGATTAATTAACTGGGATTAACATAAGACTGGGAAGGTATTGAAAGACTTCATGAACATTAATATCAATCATTTGATTTTTTCTGACTAAAGAAAAAAAGAAAGATCAAAAATAATTTGTGGTAGTATTTATCAATCAAATAAACTATGTTTGAAAATGTCATAAATAAAAAAAGGATATTGATTATAATCGATTGTTCCACTAAAAATAATCATATAGTAATAGCTCATAATCAAATACAGTCACTTATTCGTAAACAGGCTGCTTAAAAAATATGTATCGCTTAAGAACTATATACATTTTTTATTTTTATTGTTATTCTACAACTGTTTTTAAGGAATTGTTTTTATATAAGCATTATTCAATGAATGAACTAATGGACAATTTTTAAATATTGACAATTATATAATTAGAAAGGAATTGTATAATTTAGATAAATTGACTGTAACGGTTGTTATTATCTATCGCAAAAGGAATTTAATAACGATAGAATAATAAAAATAATTAGATTCTTTTAATAATAATAAAATTTTTTGGTAGCAATTTTTTTTTTCTTATTTAATACTCTTCGTTAGTGGAATTTCAATCGAAAATATGTTATTAAAAGTTGATAATTTACTAGATGAATTAAAATAATTTTTTGAAAATTTTTTTATGAATTAATAATAAATTTATAAAACATAAAAAATGTAATTCAATTAATTTTATACAATAATTATTGTTACTAAGTATTTTTATTATGAATATAATTTTAGGTAATCATTTGAAAGCTTTTGATAATTAAAAAAATCTAGTTTTCAATTCTTTAAAATTATATTCGACTAGAAAATAATTCATACTATCTCCGAAATGTTATTTTTAATTCAGCACACAGGGATTATTTTGATGTAGGGAATTCCCAATTGTGAGACTAGTGGGAAATCCGAAGGTTGTGGAGTTATTTAATGTCCTACAGAATATATTTAGTCAAAAATCAACTGTTTAGTTAATATTTTGTAATTAAATCATTCTAATACAGCAATAACTTAAGGACTATTATTTGAGTTTTATTTAAAACAAAAAATGTTTAAATTATAATCAACTAGATAAATATTATTTCAAGCGAATTTTTTTTTCTTATACTTAATGTATGAAAGCATCAAAATTATTACTTTCAATTTTTAATGACCTTCACATCATTGTTGTACAATGTTTTTCTTAAACAAGTTGAAGGTTGATTTTAAAAATACTTTTTTTTTATTGCTAATAAATTACTTGCTTCAAACAACTATGTAATGTAATGACAAAAAAAATCATTCCTAGTTTGTTTTTCTGAACCAAACACGTGTTTAATTAGTATGGATAACTAATAAATATGAATTGATCTAAATTTAGGTATTTCTTGAGAAGCGTACATTTTTTAGAATTACTTATACTGAAAAAAACCTTGCTGGTTTAGAAAAAAAAAAAATTTTTTTCAATCAAATAAGTCAATAATAAAAATATCCATGAAATGTTTCTAATATATCTTTCGATCATAGCTTTTATGAAATAATTTTATATTTAATCGGATGTTCAATGCTATTAATTTATGTATTTCAATTTTATTAATTACAATTATTAGCATAATTATGTTTAAAAATGAGTTGTATATAATAATTGTCCTGTCATTATTCGATTGTATAAATAATGGATTCCTTTCCATAGTATTTCCAAGTATCCACACATTCTATTCATGTTTATTTCTTATTATTGTATTAAAAAAAAAAATAGAAAATCTTAATAGTCTAGATTTTTTGTATTTTATCTTAAGCTTATTTATTGATTTAAGAATTTTAATCCAATTACTTTAAATGTTGTCTTAAAATCCATAAATGCACTTTATAATATCCAGGAAGCTAAAATATAAAATTGCCAATCTGACTTAAAGCAATCTATCATCATCAGCATTTTTTTCATTTGGAAAAGATTGAATAAATTTATTCATATTGATAGAAATGACTCAATAAAATATGTTAATAACTCCTATAAATAAAATCACATTTTATTTAATAAAAAAAAAAGCTATTTTTTGCAGTGTGTTAATTATGGATACAAATTAAGCTTCTAGCTGAAATTTATTTTTATATAAACAAGTAAAAGAATGAGGAAATACTTTCAATAATGGTTTATCAACTCTTTGATCATCTACTTAGAATGAATAAAAACTTTTTAAAAAAACCTGTTTTATACCCAGTCGACAAAAATACAGCATTAAATTACACTTTTTATTTTCCATATATGTATAGCAATTTTTCGACAAGAGATTAAATAGATAAACTATTTATTTATTAATTTATTTTTTCTGATGTATTTTTTTTCATTTAAAAAATCTTAATCCTTTTGATTAATAAAAAAAAAGGAGCAAAATTGATGATTAGAGAAAAAATGATGAAATGAATTGAATTATTTAATGAATTTTATAGAACTGACCTCATTTGATGTCTGCTGATTCTCTATTATAATAACAAAGATACGAAATGATTTGAATACAAGTAAAGTAATTGAGGGCCGGGAGAATTTAATATCGATGAAGGTAATCTTCTTTTCAGCATACAAAGTTTAAAGCCTGGCTTCAAACTCATCATCAACAATGAGGTAAGCCTTTTCTTATGTAATACGTAGAACAAGAAATCAAATAAAACAAATAATTTTATCTAATTATTGTATACATACCATTTCTTGTAATAAAACACGTTTTTCAAATCATCCATCTAAGTAAATGACAATAAGATTATTAATAAACAGCAGTGATTTAATTTAAAAATTTGTTTGGCCTCATTTCTAGTCATTAGTTGAATCATTGGAAAGAAAACTTAGATTTTCTTAGCAATTTGGATTATAAATAATGAAATATTTCGGGGTTATCACTTTTCTTGTCTGACCTGTAAAGGTTCAAGTTTATCTTTTTTTTGTTTTTTAATTATTAGAAACTGTAATCTTTTGATATTGAATGAGTTCACGACTGAACTCTCTTATGTTTACCGGCCTCAATTCGCGTGCATATTTTGATCGTGTCCTTATTTTTGCGATGGAAAAACCAGATCAATTATGAAGTTTCCAAGTTGATTATTATTGATTCATTGAGGATTTTCCCCACTTGTATTCGTCAATATTCATATTTTTATTTATTTTTGGACCACTTTTTTGGTCATTTAATTATTATTACATAATAATAATGATGATGTGAATTTATTTATTGATTTTATAATGATGCTATCATGTAAAATGAAGTAGAATCTTTTCGAAGATGATGGAGATTTTTTTGCTTGATTGAAAATAGTTTAATTATTTTAGGTAATGATTTGTAAACAATTCTTTGGTGTTATGGTTAGTGATTTGATGATGACCTTGTTGAAAGTGGGTACAAATCTGGGGATTTTGAGGCTTCATAGAGCGTGCGAATTCTTTGACGAAGAGTTCAAAGCGTGCCTACGACGTAAGACGCTAAGGAGAAGGACCGAGGAATAGGTGGGAGTCCTCTAGTATATTACCACTCAGTTGAGTGATGATGAGCACAGTCAGACATGGCAAGAAATCAAATAAGCATATTAACGCTTCTAGTGATAGTTGCTGTTGCTCAAGGTTGATACATCAAAATTATTATTATTGTTATTACTTTAAATATTAATTTTAAATCTTATAATTGTTGTGAAAATATTTTTAAGATGATTGAAAAAAAAAAATAAATATTATTAATTTTTAATTTACTTTTGGTTATTTTTAGCAACTTATTATGATCAAGATGGTTGGAGATATCCTCGATATGTATCAAGCAGTAGCTCGTCATCAAGTTCATCAAGTAGTTCAAGTGGAGTTGGTGGAAAAAGCCAAACAAAAACTGATACTCATGTAATTGGTGGCGGTGTTGCTGATGCTAATGCCAAAGCTACGAATGATGGAGTTATTTTTGATGATGGAGGATACGGTGGTGGTCATGGAGGCTTTGGACAGGGTGGTTACGGTGGGGGACAAGGAGGATATGGTGGAGGTGGCCTTGGTCATGGTGGAGGTGCCGGTGCTGGTGCTGGAGGACATAGTGGTGGTGGTGGCTTTGGTCATGGCGGTGGTGCCGGTGCTGGAGGACATGGTGCCGGTGGCATAGGTGGAAGTATTGGCGGTCTTGGCGTTGGAGGATCTGGTGGTTTTGGAATTGGTGGAGCAAAAAGTGGTGGTGTAGCTGGTGGACAGTCTGGTAGCTATGGAGCTGGCTATGGTCAAGCTTCCAGTGCAGGAGGATCATCTGGCAGTTATGGAGGAGGTTTCGGATCAATTGGATCAGGTGGTAGTCACTCTGGAAGTGTGGGAGGTACTTATGGCCAAGGTGGTGGTCATTCTGGAAGTACAGGAGGTACTTATGGCCAAGGTGGTGGTCATTCCGGAAGTGCAGGAGGTGCTTATGGTCAAGGTGGTGGTCATTCCGGAAGTGCAGGAGGTGCTTATGGCCAGGGTGGTTCTATTGGTGGTGGTTTTGGAAAAGGAGGTTCTACTGGAGGTGGATACCCAGCAGGTGGCAATTTCGGTGGAGTTGGTGGTGGACATTCTGGTGCTGGTGCTAATGCTGGCGCAGCTGCCAGTGCTAGTGCTAACGCTAATGCAAAAGCCGGTGCAGCAGGTGTGTTTTCAATTATCTTCATTGAAAAATCTATCAGAACTATTAATTATAATTTTTATCTTCAGGAGGTGGAAGTGGTGGAGCTGTCCCACTTGGACCTTCAATTCCAGTTGGCCCCTCTATCCCTATTGGAAAGTACCCTGCACCAACTGGTGGTGTATCTACCGGACCAATTCAACCAATTGGTTCTACTGGTCATGGCAGTGTCGGGGGCGGATATGAGCAAGGAGGTTACCAATCAGGATACCAGCAAGGAGGATATCAATATGGAACCTATCAACAAGGAGGAACTAAACAAGGTGGCTACCAAGGCAATTATGGTGGCGGAAATGGATTAGGAACTGGACAAGGAGGTTTCGGGACTGGTCAAGGAGGTTTTGGAACTGGTGGTGGATTTGGAGTTGGCCAAGGCGGTGGTGTAGGAACTGGATCTGCTGGAGCTGGTGCTCATGCTGATGCTAAAGCTAGTGCTAACGCTAAAGCAGCTGGTAAGATTTATCTACTCATGATCCAAATGATCCTCATAGCTAATTGTTAATAATTTTAGGTCAAGCTGGAGGCGTAGGAGGAGTGGGTGGAGGAGCAGGTGGTTATAATCAAGGTCAATATGGTGGTGGTTATAATCAAGGCGGATACAGTCAAGGTGGTTACAGTCAAGGCGGTTATGGTCAAGGTGGTTACGGGGGTGGAATCGGCGGCAAAGTCATCGATCCATGCTTTGCCCCTCAAAGCATAGCCTGTAAGCGGGGGCATCTTACACCATTGAGACATCATTTTTTAAAAAAAATTTTTAAACCGTTCGATATACGATTCCGTTTCACCGCCCGTTTAGGTGCTGAGTCTCAAGGTCGAGTACCTGGAGGATTCGGTGGTGGTAATGTAGGAGGAGGTAGTGGAGGACATTACGGAAGTGGCGGAAGTGGAGGTGGACAATACGGAAACGTTGGTGGAGGTCACTTAGGGGGTAGTGGTGGTCATCTAGGAGGTGGTGGTGGCCACTTAGGAGGCACTGGAACTGGTTCCGCCAACGCCAATGCTAATGCCAATGCCAATGCCAACGCAAATGGTGGATTAGCAAGTGCCAATGCAAACGCAAACGCCAATGCTAACGCTCATGGTGGTCTGGCAAATGCAAATGCTAATGCAAATGCAAACGCAAACGCAAATTCTAATAATAATTCTAATGGTATCGGGTGAGTAGAAATGATATTTTCTCTTTACTTTTCTTCAAAAAATGTTCAAGGTAAACTAGAAATATTTCTGTGTGATTTACGACTCATCATTGATGATGTCATAAAACTGGAGATGTTTTTAAGCGAAATAATATTTATTTTTGTTTATTTGCATTGTTAAATTTCACACCATAAGAGAAAAAAATTATATAAAAGCGTTTAAAAATATTTATCATCAATACATTAGCTAGACTGTTATCGAATATGTTTTTCTTTCTAACTTTCGATAAAATTATGTAAATAACTAGTTCTCACAATACAAACCTATCCACCAAGTTCTCAAAAACTTGGAAGAAAAATGTTAATTCAGGATATATTTAAATAACTTACTGAGAAATAATTTTCATCAAAAATATTATGAAGCTAATTTACCATTCATCATTCTAGACTCTTTTCACGTATTGGTGAAGATGGTGGAGAAGGCACTGGCAGTGACAACATCAAGAAAACACCGGAAGTAAATAAAAGTGGAACTGTCGATGGTGCCAAAGGTGTTTACAGCAGTAGTTCATCGAAAGTCGATGAAAAAGGAAAAGGAACTTACCATGTTGAAGCTGGAAAAATTAATTAGTTCAATTGTCTAACTAAACAGTAAATTTAATGCCATAATTACTGATAAGACGAATAAAAAAAAAGATTGTTAAATCAACCTGAGATTGAATCTTAGGATTGAATATTACTTGTATTTTATATATGTGATCAATATCTGTCAATTACAATAATAAATAATGTTTTTGTACAAAACAAGACTTCTATCAATTTAACTATATTTTGCTTCTAGAAACTTAAAATTTGTTCAGCTTTAAATGAAAGTATTAATATTTACTCTTTGCAAGTTCTATTCTAAAAATAATAGGAACTACTTTGCTGAAGTTCAGATCATATTATTAATTTAAATAATTATTAACTCAAGAGCTAAGAAGTCCAACTTAAAATTAAACAATATGAACAAAAAGTAGTATTTTAGATGTTAATTATTTAAATTTATTAAACATCTAATTTTTAATCAACATTGATTATTATTACATAGACCGCAACGTTTATCCATCATGATCTATCAGAGATATAATTGTTCATAAGATGAAAGAAGAGGTCAGATGACCTTGGTAGTTCATTCAAGTAGGATTAAACTATCAGAGATAATCAAGACGCAATACAGTGACGTTTAAGGCCAATAGGCATTTTTTTTTTCTATTTACTTGTCATTTATCACGAGTTTTAATATTGCGTAATAGTGTTTTGAATGATTTTATCTATTGTAGATGAGCTGGCTGTCATCATTAACATTTTTTCTTAATTAATCTCGATAATTAGTAACCGAAATAAAATATCAATAAGAGATTAAAAATAATATGAAGTTTATAAGAAAATATTTTTATTAAATCATGTAACATTATTAATAAATGGATTAATTTTCAAAAATAATAGCATCATTTGATGTAGTTTCATTATTTGTTTCTTTTTGTTCTTCAGTTTCAGATTTTTCAGTCATTTCTTCATTAGTTTCTTGATTTTTCTCGCCGTCCTTGCTATCACTTTCTTCACTTCCGTCTTCACCTATCCTAGGTCTGAAATAAAATGGTCCTCCATATTGATTCGATCCTCCATATTGATTTGGTCCTCCATATCCTTGATTTTGAGGAGAAGAAGCCAGAGCATTTGCTAGAGCATTTGCAAGCCCATTTTGGGAAGCAGCTGAAGCAGCAGCACTTGAAGAAGCAACAGGTAAACCATTGACGATTCCTGATGTAGCAGAAGCTGAACTTGATGCACTGGAAGGTTGATTATAGGATGGATTGTATGACGGATAATAAGGATTGTATCTGTTTCCTCCTGATTGAACGTTGGCTTGAGCATTGCTGTTTGCATATCCATTCTGAGATGATGCATCAGCTTTGCTATTAGCATTGGAATTTGGTCCATATGCTGATGCAGATGCGTCAGCTTTTGCTTGTGAGTTAGCATAAGGACCTGGATATGCTAATCCATAGTTTGGATTTACTGGAGGGTAGCGTCTATTTTCTGATGGATAACTAGGATATCTAGTATTTCCTTGGGCATAGTCCACGTTGGGGATGTACCTGAAAGAATGAAATAAAAAATGTTATTCAAGTGATTTGGTAGTTGATAGCAGATAGAAAAATAATATTGTGCTGTTAGTGGTATAGTTGAATTTTATTAAGAATTATTATAAGTATAGTATTTTAAAATGTAAAACTGTTTAAACATAAATAAAATATTAAAATAAATGATGATAATTAATGAATAAAAAGATAGTGTGACTTGGACGAAAAAACTACTTGGGTAAACATGAGACTATGAGGACCAAAGTGTTCTATCTACGTAGAACAGGACTCTTACAGGTCACTCTAGTTTACATGACCTCATGTTACCTGAAGAATACTTTTATTCCAAAAAAACTGTACTTAAAACCATTTTCACTTCAATTTCACACTATTTAGAATTGACTTCAACATAAAAATTGATACCTAGTATTTTTCAAGTCTTCTAAGATTTGATTTATCACAAAGAAAGTTCTTCAAATTAATTGATATAAAGAAAATGTTATTTATAAGAAGTTGAATTAATTTTTTGTAGAAAAAAGTATTTAAATAAATACGAAAGTAATGAATGAATCATTGATTTACCCTTGTGGTCGGTATCCATTCTGAGGATATTGAGCAGGAACAAATGATCGTGGTTCAAAATCGTCCTTTGGAAATTCAAATGAAAATATTTGTTGATAATTAGATGAAATAGCAAGAAGTGCAAGAACCAATGATGAGTATCTGAACACCATCTTTGCCGTGAGAGATTCGACTGTTTGACTGAATTTTTAACTTTATTCCCTTCAGTTTTATAGGTGAATAAGGCCACATGGTAAACATTGGTAATTCCGGAACCTACACATCCAAAGACCTAAATTCTTACGTTATAGTGAATGAGCAAACCTCGAGGTAACTTGTTTTTTTTTCGATCCCGCCTCCTTTAGCGTCATTAGTGGTTGTCGAACTCAGAAGAACTTTTCTTGAAACATACATTTACAATTCTAGACCACTTCCATTACTGTATGTATAATTAGGAAATACATGCTTTATTATTAAATGCTAAATGACTCACCGGAAAGTGAATTTGTAAGCTAAAAAAATCCAATGTCTTATTCTCAGGTAAAATTAAATTCAAAAAAAATATATAAAGTAAATTTGGATTTCTATTAACCTTGAACATCTTTCTATAGCAATTAAATCATCATAAAAGAGTGATGCTGGTTTATTTCCAATTTTCTTTGATCTTAATATTTTTATTAGTTGATAGAAGATTGCTTTTTTATGTTAAATGTCAAAAATAGATTATTTTTATTAACAAAAATGTTTTATTTTCTGATAACTTTCAATTCTAATGCAGTAAAAAAATCCTAAGGAAAAGTTAACCTTAATTAAAATACCATAAGCCTTTGTGTCTCAAAATTTTAAAGAAATAAATTATTTTGATAATGAGATAAGTTCAGGCATATAAAATAAGACTCATTTCTCGAAATTTGAAAATATTTAAATGGTTGAAACAATAGTAATGATAATTAATTAATTAACTATTAAATAATTATTTTCAATAATGCTTGTTAATTAGTGTTGTATTAATTATTATACTAATCAAACCATTAGTTTTTCAATTGAAAAATTGATTTTTATTAACCATAGCATTTTTATGAAAATTCCTAACCTTTTTTGTTTACATTAAAATAATTTTATGGAGCAAATTTTAATTTTTTATATGGAGGTATTTTCCCAATTATTAATTGACGTCACAGATAGTTATTTTACATTACTCCATAGTGAATTAATGTTTTTTTATGAAAAATAGTACAGTTTTAGTTCGAAAGGTACAGAATTGTATGTTCTAAGAATTAGCATTTGTGGTCCACAGTGGGATTTACCCAGCCAGTAGGTATTGACCATGAAATTTATAATGTAGTATATTATTTCGCTTCTCTCTAATAGTATGTCAATAACATTCTCCGTTGTGTTTTAGTTTTTTATGAATATATGAACGTGTGACCTTCCACAATGACGACAAAGATCTGGAATTACCTATGCTGCTGAGTAACATTAGACATTCATTTTTCATTTATGTAAGTTTTTGAAAAATAATTAGTTTACTTATAATTATTCATATAGAGTTCATTTTATTCAATTTTAATGATCATTTCACATAATACTTTTAATGAGCAATTTTTTATATTTATTGTTTCTGTTAATAGGAGGATGGAAAGAGTCGTTTTGTTGAAGTATTATATGTATCCATACATTCCACCACCACGGCCACCCATGTAACCAGGATATCCACCCATTTGTGCTAAAAAAAAGAAACATTATAATGTTTTGGTTTGAATGATTTTTAATATATTATATCATATATTTTAAAATGAAACCTAGATTTTAATAATGAGTATTGAGAAAATTTTAAGTGAAGTAAAAACTAGAAATGAAATGATAAAATGTGATAAAAACTAAATCAATGATAATTTTTTTTATAATATCTGTGATTTTTATGTTTTATAAAAAATCATTCTACCTTTTAACTTTTAAAATTTTCTCAATAAATAAATTAAAAAATAATTTAAATTATTATTTAACATTGATAAAATTTATTTACATCCATATCCTCTGCCCATACCACGGTTTCCATATCCCATGTTACCTCTTCCCATATTACCTCTTCCCATGTTACCTCTTCCATATCCATAACCTAGGGTAAAAAACCATCTTTAAGTTAAAATTGAAATAATTAAAAATACTTATCATTATTTTATGTTAATAAATGAATTTTCGCAATCGTTTTCAAAGACCCAAGAGTCAAAAATCTTTATTTATTGTAATCAAATAAAATAACTCTAGAAGTCTCTTTTTGCAATTTTTAATTGTTTTATACTTTATAAAAAAATGTTTCAGATCTGATCAGATGCAGATTGTAAAACTAATTTGATCTGACACGAAGGTAGTTGAAGCTTCATCTGGATCCCATCAAGTTACTTTTGCTATAATATAAATATTTTTTTGTGATCAAGTCAGATCTGATCTAACTCCTTTTATTAGATCAAACCTGATGAGCTTCAGTCACATTGGAATCGGTTTTTTTCCCAAGTATGCAAATGACTGACTTCATGTACATTAAAATTATTCATGAATATTAACGTACATCATGTTGGAATAGATATTTAGTTCAAATATTTACCTTGAGCACTGGTGCCATACATCAATGCAGAAAGAATGAAAAGAAGTGCCCAGAAGAACTTCATACTTGATAATATAATATCACTTTTTGACTCAGAAATAGCAACGACTATTGTAATGTTTGCTGAATGCTTGCTAGATATTAACTGCGACCGGAGGTAGATCTAGCACTTTTTTATATTCAGCAAATAACATAGGTACATTCACACTTATGTGGAAAAGTAATTATTGTATTTACTATAATAAATTATCAATTGATGACTTTTGATTCGTAATCACTCATTATAATAACTTCCGTGAAAAAATGACTTTAATTGATTGTTTGCATATAATTTTTTTCAATGGAAAGTTTTCATCATAGTAAATAAACCAATTTTCTTGAGAAATTATTTTATTTAAATTACAACTTAATCGAATCCATTATATTGATATTTAATTTCAGTGATGAGCAAGATGATGACAAGTGGTGAAGTTAGAAGGTAAACACATTTCTTGATCTAAACTGAAGAGATATTGTGGAGGGCAGTTTTTCACTAATGGATGACCTGCTTTACAACGACAGTATTTTGTACAATCTTTATGAGCTAATAGGACTACACTGTTAGGATCATCGGTTTGTGGACAGCGACCAGCACAATTTGACACAGAACGATCTGATGGAGTTCTGATAGTTTTTACTGTTGTTGGTTCAGGTGAAGAATCAGGTAAGGGTTGATTTTGTGTTGTGAGTGGTTCTGAGGTAGCTTTAACATTTTCAGTTGTTGAGGTCTTTGAAGTTGTTGATGATGAGCTAGCTGTTGGTGATGGACCAGCTGTTGATGATGAGCTAGCTGTTGATGATGGGCTAGCTGTTGATGATGAGCTAGCTGTTGATGATGGGCTAGCTGTTGATGATGGACCAGCTGTTGATGATGGGCTAGCTGTTGATGATGATTCAGATGTTGTGGAAGGATTAGTTGATGGAATTAAACTAGGAGTTGTAGGTGGGTACGTTGTTGTTGATGAGCTAGAAGTTGTTGTTGGAGATGCAGTAGTAGTAGTAGTAGTAGTAGTAGTAGTAGTAGTAGTAGTTAAACCATTCAGTCTATCACATTCAGCTTGTCCCACAGGAAGACATCGTTGTCTTTCTGCATCAAACTGATAGTTTGGTGCACAATCTTCTGGAATCGGACGACCTTTTTGACAGCGACAGTATTTATTACAGTCCTCATGGGGAAGATACACATTGGCTTTTAAACTTTCATGTGGACATTGTCCCAAGCAACCTTCAACTTTTCCACATTCAGATTCAACTGGATCCACACATGTATCATGTTTCGCAGAGAAGAATGTTCCTTCTTGGCATTCTACTGTAAATTGGAATCTTGACATACAGACACAATATTTATTGCAATCATCATGAGGCAGAAATTTGTAAATTTGGAACCATGGACATTTGGCAACACAATTTCCATTTGTAGGTGTTTTTTTCTGTAGACCTTTAACAACATCTATGAAACTTCGAGGTTCATATTCTACTGGGCTTGATAGAGTAAATGGAATGATGATAGCAATAGTCACTAAAAAAATTGAACAAATTATTATTTAACACAACAAAAAAAGAAAGCAAATAAATTCTTAATAAACCTTACCTAAAAATTGATACATTTTGATATATGTGATGGGTTCTAATCGTAATAATGTGAATATGAAACTCAACATTTCCCAGAATAATTCGCCTTTTTATAATAATCTTAATCCATTGGCTGATTTGTTAATTTCAATCAAAAAGTTCGCAAATATTTTTTCTTTCACTTCAGTTGGTCTTAATTATTACCAACGTTATCATATGTTATCTTAAGTAAATTTCTTGTCAAATTCGCAGATGTTAGATGCAGGTGTATATTTATATCATTTCAATTGTATTTGCTGAATGTCGAATATTTTTTAAAATTTGCTAGGAAACTCATTTTTAAAAATCTCTGATATGTGATGGTTTTATTATAAACGAAACTGTTTATTGATATTCAGGAAACGAAGGTGTTGATTAAATTACAAATTGATAGTAATAACATGAGTCAGTTTAGCAAACTTCTAGAGTTACTTGAACCACAACGTATGTAAAGATTAGGTAATCTTATATTTAAGATTGATTACTCCACCATTATTTTCTATTTGCAGGAAATATGAATATTATGAGCATTAATTACAGTCATCATTGCCATTCTATAGAATAGCAATTTTGAAATTATTTTTTTCTTATGAATGACAAAAAATATCATTTCAAAAATAAAAATAAAAAATCTTGGTTTTTTTATCTAGTGAAAGTATTTTTTTGGTGATGGAACAAATAATTAATAATATGTAAAATTTACTCTCGTAAATTGTTTGCATATCACTGTCAATATTAAAAGATTATTTCAATTTTAATATTACATAAAGATATTATTTAATATCATTATTTTTTAAGTGCATCAAAATCAAATATTTGTGAATATTATTTAATAATATAAACAGTGAATTATCTGTAATTATATATAACTTCTACACTTTTTGAGAAAGTAAATTTGGATTAATGATGTCGAGTGATGACTTTAAAAGTTTGTAGATTGCTGATAATAAGTGTATATAATGATATAAATTATTGAAAAAGAACATGGATCATTGGAGGTAATAGTTTAATAAATAGTTTTTCTTTTTTCGATTACTTAATAATTGAATAATTTTCGGTTATCAGATTTAATGTATACTTGTACTTTGCAAGTTAAATGCAAAATAAAATGAATTACTTTTACACATTGACGCCGTAGCTCTGTGGTTGTCTCTTCGGAGCGCCGTGGGGCTATTGGCTTTTGCAAATCTAGATTCGATTCCATCCAATGGCAATTTTTTTTTGTTTATTACTTTGATCAATCGCTGGATAAGAGTTTTCTTTTTTTTATTATTGAATTTTCTAACATGAAAATTAGTAAAGATTTTAATGAATTTTTTATTAAATGATTGATCCTAGTTGATAATGAGTCATTTAAATACAAAATAAAATGAATTACTTTTACACATTGACGCCGTAGCTCTGTGGTTGTCTCTTCGGAGCGCCGTGGGGCTATTGGCTTTTGCAGATCTAGATTCGATTCCATCCAATGGCAATTTTTTTTTGTTTATTACTTTGATCAATCGCTGGATAAGAGTTTTCTTTTTTTTATTATTGAATTTTCTAACATGAAAATTAGTAAAGATTTTAATGAATTTTTTATTAAATGATTGATCCTAGTTGATAATGAGTCATTTAAATACAAAATAAAATGAATTACTTTTACACATTGACGCCGTAGCTCTGTGGTTGTCTCTTCGGAGCACCGTGGGGCTATTGGCTTTTGCAGATCTAGATTCGATTCCATCCAATGGCAATTTTTTTTTGTTTATTACTTTGATCAATCGCTGGATAAGAGTTTTCTTTTTTTTATTATTGAATTTTCTAACATGAAAATTAGTAAAGATTTTAATGAATTTTTTATTAAATGATTGATCCTAGTTGATAATGAGTCATTTAAATACAAAATAAAATGAATTACTTTTACACATTGACGCCGTAGCTCTGTGGTTGTCTCTTCGGAGCACCGTGGGGCTATTGGCTTTTGCAGATCTAGATTCGATTCCATCCAATGGCAATTTTTTTTTGTTTATTACTTTGATCAATCGCTTGATAAGAGTTTTCTTTTTTTTATTATTGAATTTTCTAACATGAAAATTAGTAAAGATTTTAATGAATTTTTTATTAAATGATTGATCCTAGTTGATAATGAGTCATTTAAATACAAAATAAAATGAATTACTTTTACACATTGACGCCGTAGCTCTGTGGTTGTCTCTTCGGAGCACCGTGGGGCTATTGGCTTTTGCCGATCTAGATTCGATTCTATCCAATGGCAATTTTTTTTTTGTTTATTTAACGAACAGTATTAATGTTATTATTGCTAGAGATAAACATTTTATTAGACGATGAAATGGACAATGAAATTAAGCCCAGAAAATGAAGCAATTCGATTATCCTGTTATGCTTATTGCAGGGGCACTTTTTGGTCTTATCACCAATAATTAAATCAACTAGATAGATTTACTGTATCCAGATGGAAATGAACAATTCTACGATTACATTGAAGATACTTATGCTTCTTTCTCTTTTACTAATAGTTTGTGACTCTAAAAATTCACTTATATGTTAAATAAAAACAATATATATAATTTTGAATAAAATAATATCGATATTTTAATATCAAATTACTTTTAATAAATGTATTTATTTATTTAAACTAGTAGGAAATTATTAATCATTATTAAATTCCTCCTGTGAATTTATGTTTTATCAATTCTATTATCTTAATAGAACTTTTATTACATTATTATTTTTCATTTTTGCTTAAAACTACTTAACAATATTTACAAACATAATTTTGTTTACTCCAACGCTTATATACAATTTTTATTTTTAAAAATTAATTTATAGACTAGAAGAGGTTGTTTTTTTTTCAGTATATTTTGAATATTTCGTTATTACTATTTATTTTTGGTTTTAATTATCTATGTACTCATATGAATAGCATAAACTTATCGATATTTTTAATATGTTTAATAAATGTTTAATAAATATCTTCAAAATCTATGAATCTATTATAATTTCATTTTTTAAATTTTTATTTTACAAGTACTAATATAAGACCACAGAAATAGAGGCATAAAAGTATTTATTTTATTAACTCGAAACAAATGGTGACTTGGCAGAAATTTAACTAATCAATTTATTGATAATTTTTATACTGCTATGACTATGATGATTATTATCATTATAATTATCCATATGGGTAATAATATTGTTACGTTTATTTTTTTTACTATTGTTTAAATGTCGAGACATCTTACAATTAAATGAAAAATTTGAGCTTTATTTTTATTTAAAATTTTTTGTGCGAGTTAGTGCATTTTTAATTTGTATGTTTATGTAGTTACAAAAATTAACAATTTTTGTTTCAGTTTTTGTAATCCAATATTTTTGAAATATATTTCGCACAGATTAAATTGAAGCTTGTATTTACAGTAATAATCCAGATGAAGAAAAATTTATTTGTTATAAAAAAAACATGTATGATATATTATTATATGCAAAACCACTTAAAATATTTTTAATAACATCTAAAAAATGAAAAAAAAAAATTATTACCGAATTTTTACTTATTTTAGATTTTTCTAAAGTATATATTTAAACATTAAATTTTATTATTAATAAAATTAAATACTATTTAAATGTTTATCAATTTTTCTGATGATTTTCGGGAATAAAATTTTCGGCAATTGGCATTAAATTTGATCTATTTTAGCTCTAAATAATATCATAATAGCGTATATTATTACATATGTATTTTAATAGTTTTATTTTATAAAAATTGAAGACTTAAAGTCCATTCGAGTAATTTTTTAACCATTTTTTTAGCAGATAATATTATTTTAAATGTTTTTTTTTTTATTTTTCAAATCGATTATGTCACACTAAATCATACTCTTATAATTTACATGTGCCCAGTTTTGCTTCTTTGCGCTTAAAAATTAAAAAAAAAAAAAAAACAATTATTTCGATCTAGAATATATATAAATATCTACATAACTTGAGATGCAGATGATCTTATTTTTTGTTATACATTATAAAAATTTACAGACAGTTTTTTATTTTAGATAAACTCATATGATTATGGTATTTATTTATTCATTGTCCTTATTTTTAATCACCTTAAAAAATATATCTGAAGATACTTTTTTTTATCGTTTCATTAATTCTTATTGGCAGTAAAAATTATTCGTGTTTCAAGACCATAATTATTTATGATAAAAATTATGTAGATACGTCTTGTGAAGTTTCTTCTTAAGATGAATTCGTTTTCTCTTCGGATATATTTTTTTGCGATGATTATTGATAATTATTTTATTTTCAAAATATTAAATAAATAAAAAAACATCCATGAAATAAAAGTTCCATTTTAACTTCAAGTAAAAAGTTGAGGCCATTGTTTAGGCTGTGATTTTTTTTTTAATTGTTAGCAATAGTATTTTTACTAAATGTAGTGAAATAGTATATTTTGCACTCCAGGAGAAAAGTAAATCATTCTAAGCGTGAGAAAAATTCATTTTTTATACCACTTGTTTGACCATAGGTTTGGGTTTGAGTTTATTTACTTTTCCTCCCTAGGTGCGAAATGTAGTATTTTTCTTCCTAGGTTGGAAATGTACCATTTTTCATATTCAAAATTTTTCCAATGAAAAAATCACGAAATAATTTTTAATAATTATGTTTTAATACAGATGAAAATGATCAACTGAATGAAATTATTCATCACATACAAATTATTTTGAAAAAAGTGTAAATATTCTAATAAATTCTACTATTATCGAAGCTTTGTTTATCCTTCGATCAAATAATTACTCCATTTTTTTCCAATAGAAGGATAAAAAATTTATATGCCTTTTTTGTCATTAGAATATTAAGATGATTTTTATATTCTTTAATAATAAAGATTTCATAGACATTTAATGTAAATCTCAGTAAGAATAATATTCAGACCACGTAAGTATATTTCGGTTGCCAATGAAAGAACTCCCAAGTGGTCCCAATTTAGTAGAAAAAAGCAAATACCTGAATAAAAAAATATTAGGACATGCTCGATAATCATCAAAGCTATAACAGACTCTATGTCAGGGTGTGCTATTTTATACACTAAGAAAAATATTGAGTAAATTCACTTTCACAATTTTTAATAGTAATTTTTACTCCATATTTATCTGAACGTAATAATTGATATAAGGCCCAAATTAAAAATGCTTATTATTCAACAATTTTACTTGATAAGGGCCCACTATAATTCTAGGTCCTGACAAGGCCCTAAATTCAGTCCTAATAATTTCTTCCTCAGGAAATAATAATATTATTATTACAATTACTCACTATAAAACATGAGTTCATTTTAAAGTCCTTGCATCAAATAATTTCTTTAATTTTCAGAGTAAAAATTATCTTATGAATTTTCCTAAAAAGCCATTTATTATAGATGTATACATATAAGTATATACACTACTTTCACGATTCGTTGCGTAAGAATTGTTCATTAATTTACTCCAAGTAATAGATTGTATTCCAATCGATAATTATGTTAAGCATCAAACATGCCATGTACCTAGAATATTCGCTCGTATTAAATTCATAATAATAATAATAATAGTGTATTATCAATATTCGATTATGATTGGCACGACGACATGGCCGAAGATAAAAAAATTTATAATTATAATAAACAAATATTATTTACTATGAGGTAAACTTGAATGAAGAAAATTAAAAAAAAAAATAAATACATTATAATATTCTTAAATTAAAATATTATTTTAAAATAAATCAGTGAATATTCACTGATTAACAATGCCAATTTAATTACTGAATAAATCAGTAATTTAATTGTCACTGAAAACATTAGTACTGTACAACTGTATTTATACCAATTTCATGTCAGTATGAATAGAAATATAAAAATGATTCAATAGAGTTCAATTAATACTGTATAAAAACAATTAAGTATTTATCTAGTAATTATACAGTGTAAAACTGTATAATACAATATAAGATTGACTTTGATAAACCTACTGTATTACAGTAACAGTACTGTATTTGTACAGTAATAATACAGTAAAAGTTTAATTTTGGTGTACATTATGTATACAGTATAATTATTGTATTTATACAGTAATTTTACATGTGTAACATTTTACAAATATGCTCACTTATGCAGTGTTTAAATAAATATTGTAAAAATACAGTATTCGTATACAGTATACTGTATACCGTATAAGAATACTGTATACAGTATTATTATGGCATTTTTTTTTTTTAATTTAGATAAAGAAAAAATTAAATTACGTTCAATATCTATTTTATAAGTTTTCTTATTCAAGTTCTTAATAGTAACTCTAATGAATATTAAATGCTGTGATTGTTGGGTGTTTACATAATTATTTTGATGTAATAACCTCTTCAAGTCTATGTTGAATCAATTCGAAAAATAATCATATTGACAGCTTCTCTGATTTAATGATAGAAATACATAAATTTAAAGATCGAAAATTCGATAAATGGATTCTTTTTTATTATTATTATTATATTAAATTCAAACTATTTTAATATTACACAATTTTTTCACGATTTGTATAAAAAAAAAATATATTTTAATCTTATTTATGTTGATTTTTTTTTTTTTGCTTATTATAAGATGTATTTTTTGAGAAGAATATAATAAATATAATGAAAAAGATATTTCAACAGATGTATTCTTACTTCTATCGCTTTGTTCAATTTATTTTTTTTTTATTTTTATGAAAAAAATCATAATTGGATGTTTGGAAATTTGAATATTTTTTTTTTACTATCTATTGCTAATTATTACGTAGTTTGGTATATTATTTAATATTTTTGGTCGTTTTACGTAAAAATTACCCGGCTAATAGCCATTGAATATTATGAGTAAAGATGATTATTAAAGGATCATTTAAGAGTTAAAACTGTAAAAGTCTACTACAATTTTTTTCTTCATTTATCTAAATTATTATTTTTTTTTAATATTTATAATAATAGTAACAATATTTATAGTATTCTATATTATCATCAACAACTGTAATATTTGTAGAAACTTTTGAAATTCATTGCAGTTTTTTTTTCTTCTCAATTTTCTATGCAACTTTTATGGTATTTTACGATTTTGTACACAATTATGTTTTTTTTATTTTTAAATTTATTTCGTTCACTGCATTTCAATTGTATCATTCATCAATCTTTGAATTTTTAATTACACAAAAGAGAAATTTAGTTTGTATTTTTTCCATAAATTATTAAAACAATTTTGTGCATAAAATACATATATGTATATTTTATTTAATTATACTTGACGCAAATGAAATATTTTTTAGTTTGTAAAGTTTTCTTTTTTTTTTTATTCAGATAAGATTGTAAATCATTTAATCTATAGAGGCGATACTTCAATTCTACAATTTAATAGGCTCTTTTTTTTTACTGCCAGTTTCTACTTATTTTCATTACATTGTTAAGCCTGAGTATATTAACATAAATTTTTTTTTACAAATAAAATCATCGGAAGAAAAAAATATATTTTATTATATTCTAAAAAAATTTGAGAGTGTGGGGAAAAAATTGAAGCAATGCTAGACATTATAATATACAGGTATGTAAAAATAATAATTATAAAATTAATTTTTAACTCTTAAAGTGTGAATTTAATTTTGATATCACTTAAGTAGAATAGGCTGTAATATATCTATACAGTATTTTTTTTCTTTATTTAAATTTATACAGTATTAATGTCATATTTATTTCCCTAAAAATGGTACAATTACAATTAGTATTTTTCAATATTACTGTACAGTATGGAATATACACTTAAAAAATTTTTTTACTCAATTTAGATTTATTTTTAAAAAATTTTATGCTTGATAAAAATATATTAAAAATTTGTTGTAAGATAGAATAAATAAAATAATGCCATGACTTAATAAAAATTATTTATGCAGATAATAAAATGTCACTCATTTTGTTTGAATAATGTCTTTCATTTAAACAAAGATAAGTCATTTTGTGAGTAAAAAATTTCTCTAAATGCAGCTTAATCAATTCCATCAGGGCAGCTTATCTAGAGATTATTTTTCTAAATAAAGTGCATCATTACTTATTTAAATAATATAAAAATTATAAATATTAAATAAACAATTATTTTATTATAATAAAAAAATTTTTCATGTCACATTTTACCTCAATTTTTTCCACACATTACTAATATAACAATTTAATACTTAAAATTCATCTACTATCAATGACTTAACAATAAAATACTTAATAAATAATTCAAGCCAAAAATGAAATTCATAAAAAAACATTCTCTTTCTATAATTAGTTAACAGATAATAATCTTTAATTACTTTAATAAAATAACTAATTATTTTTTTCTATTAATTTTACTTAACAAAGTTGTTCCGGTACATTAATGCACTTTCAAGGATTCTATATAAAAATATTGTATAGCTGTCGTGTCCAAGTTAGTAACTTGAAAAAGAAATTAGTAACTAATGTATCCTCTTTTGGTCCCGTTTCGCGATGTCAAACTTTGGCTTGGTAAACACATTGTAAAGGATTAAATGATAAGAAATTATTTATTTCTTTTATTATGGCCGAGACAATTCTTTAATTTTTAATTTCAATGGATTTTTCCTCCTTTCATTCTTTTATAAATAAAAAAGACTAGGGTCGAAAAGTTTAGAAACAAAATTTATATTAAAAGAAATAATTACAGCTACGTTATTTAATGAGACATCTAGAAAAGGGTTTACCAATAATTCATCAAGGTATAGGAGACATGTAACTTAAAAAAAAATATATAATAAAATTGAATTAAAACGGATTTGTCTCAAAAATATAAAATTTTATTAATTAGTATCTGCATATTAATTTATTCACTTAATAATTAATTCAGTTTTAATATTTCTATTAGAATACTAAGATGAATTTTTGACTAAAAATTAATCCAATATCATTTTTACATATTTTTGGGGTAAAAATTATTACATAAATTAAAGAAAAATTTTACCCTTGAGTATAAAGTGATTATTTTTTTAATTCATTGCATTATTACGTAATTATCATTTATGGGGTAAAAATTTACCCCTATTATTTAATCCAGAATAATTTTTACACATTCATTTACTTCATGTAACAGAGAGATCAATTTAATTAGCTTATCGACCCTAATTTTTTTAATTAAAAATAAAGCGAAAAAATATCAATAATATATTCACATATAAAATGATATTATATAATTATTGAAAAGATATTTTACTTAATAAATAATTAATGAAATACTTAACTATATACTTCTTCCATATTCTTTGTACAGATACATAATTGTAAAGTTACTAGATATCGCAATTTCTATAATCTACGGACGTTAAAGCGAATGAAATCACCTTGCATTCTTCATTAAATATAATATTAATAAATGAAGATTGCATATAATCTTTTCTACAAGATATTTCTTGTATTCATTTTATTAAACTCAATAGCTCATAATCACGCCGTGAAAATAAAAAATAAAATATTTTGAATGCAATTTGAGCATAATCGATATTTCTATGTAGTGTGAAACGTTGACATAAAATGTTATTTAATAAAATTGCACCAATATTCTATTCCTTAAGGCCATCATTTTACAATAAGACTAGTCCAAGACTGATTAGTTTGAGGAAATGATAAATAAGATGTTTGTTTTTTTTAAATGAATATCGATGTAGCAAAGAAGACAAAGTAAAGATAGATAGAGTTTTTGGTAGTCATACATTTTTACCTTCATACCTTCCTCACTCATCGTGACTTTCTGCGCTCCACCGTCCTTAAGGTGTGAAGGTTTAACTGTACAATTACCGAGTTTTTCCTTGAAAGAACTCGAAAAGTGAGAGATAGAGTTTGACTCGGATTTGGGAAAACCGTATTCATTTTAAATCGCATTCTTTAGTGTTTATCGTATGAAAATCTCAATTACTTCTGGCGTTCGTTTATTAATACAAGTATTTTGTAAGAGAGATTGAGAGAAAGACGGATAGTTATAGTTAGGTTAAGTTGAAATGAGATATCTTAATTATTAAGTACGTTTTCAGGCACACAAGTTGGGCAGGGAGCAGACCGCAGCAAGGACGAATCAATGACTTTCGATGTAGTGATAATACAAATTGATGAGTCTATTTTGAATTATTCTTTTTATCTCATGACTATTCTTAAAACTATTGGAGTATTTCTATTTACGTTCTCAAGAATATCATTCATTCACTATTAAGTTGAATTATCGAGTTCGTAAGTAGGATTGTAATAATCACCATCAAAAGTCATGAGTGTTTCTACCTATAACATAAACTAATTGTTTAGTAAGAGTGCTGCGGCTGCAAAGACGTGGCTCAGCTATGTGGTGATGAATCTGAGCCTTGGCTGGTCCCAAGTCCTCCCATGCCAGCCTGAGTGGTCAGCCTGGTAGTAGATTGCGTTGTAGTTGGTACATTGTGTTGTAGTCTTGAACTACCTGTTTCCGGTACCAAGTGCGGTGTTCGACTTGAAACTGGCGGTAACACTGGACTAACTGGCCACGGATGTAGAGATACTGTACTTGGTGCATTTGGTACACTGCGTGAGTGTGGCAGTAGTGGAGAATTAGACAAGCTTCCCAATGGATGATGAGCAGATGTGTTTATATTCCCAGTCATTCCAACACTTAAACTGTTACCAAGACCACTTCCTGAACCACCACAATTACTTGGTGTTGTTCCTAATGCTACAGCTGTGTCTGGATGTAGAAAGTTTCGTCGCTGTTCCATCCGTTCTGCATGTTGCGCTAAACATCGAGTCAATGCTTCTGGTAATATTTCCAGTTGCTCTTGCAATGCTGTTAGCTTGTCTTCTAAACTTGCTAACCTTTCCTCAAATGCATCTTGACGAGTGCTCATGTCTGATACTATTTCGTAAACTGTATTTTGTGTCTGAAATTACATGTTTGTATTATTTTATTGTTATTATTATTAATATCATCAGGTAACTCATAATAAATTTCTGAGATGAAATAGACTTTTATCAGACAACTTACATTTTTGATTCCTAAAAACGATATTAAAATGTCTATGATATGAGAGTATTCAATTTTCTAGTGATCATCAAACCGTTCTTTTGTAAAAACAAATTAATAAAACAAATAATTGTTTTTTCTCTCAAAGGTGATCGAACAACTCTCGTTTGGTTAATAGAAAACAATTGGTATTGTAACAAAGTACCATTGATAGCAATTTGATGACAACTCGGTGACCCATTTATTAATTAATTAGAAAAAATAGAAAATATTGTTTAAATACACATATAGTATTGTTGAGAAATAAATTTACATTAAAAAAATCATTAAATTCAGTAATCATCAACTTCACCATCAAGTCATTCAACTCAACTAGTTTAGTAATTATAAAAAAAAAATGTCTCAATCTATTTCACCACAGCAATTTGTTTTGTTACTTCTGTTTCTGTAGTTGCAACAAGATTCACCTTGGCCATATCAGTTATTGTGTTAGCATTATCCATTAATTTACGTTGGTCCATTTTAACTTTCCTGAGTCTGAAAAAGAAGTATTTAGCTGTACTACACCATTAAAAATACCAACATCAACAAGGATCAATATTTAATAAAAAATAATATAGTACAGGTAAAAAAAATACATACGCATAGATGGCTAAAAGAAATTTACGTTGATGTGTCCGTACACGACCTGGATTAACTCGTTTAACTAAACGTGTATGTTTGTAAATGAGCCAAGTTTCTCGTAAAACATTTGCTGCAGCATTTTTTAACTGCAACATAAGAATTTAGTGTTATAAGTAAATGAATATAATTTACAAACTATAAATGCTTTTAGCTTCACTAACTCGTTTTGTTAATTGTGTGTCCATCATGAAATTATGAACATGCTTCTCTGCTCTCGTAAGCTCCAATTTTCTAGAAACGACTGCTACGAGTAATGCTGTACAACCCGCTCCCTATAAATAATATTATTCATTTATTTATTATAAAAAGTAATTAATGGAATTTAATTAATTTTTTTTTCATTACCATCATCCCTGTTGATACAGCTATCCCTCGTCCACAATATGTATTAGGCACGATATCACCGAATCCCACGCTTAGGAATGTGATAGCAATAAGCCACATTGCGTTGAGTAAATTTGCATGCTCCTCATCATGAAACCTGGGAAATTAAAAGTATTATTACATATTTAGTCAAAAAAAATCCAACTTCCCAATGGAACAGCGTTATTTTTTTTACTTATATAGTTAACCTCATCAGAAATTAGAAAAAATTATTTACAAAAAGTAATGTAATTATAATAAAACAAAAAATCTGATAATTAAATTTTACTCCAAAAAAAAGAAAACAAAAATTAACATTACAACCTATTAATCTCAAACAAGGTTATGTTATGAAAGAGCCTAATTAACATGGCGTCGATTAGGGAAAATTAATCATAATTTCGATAGTTTACTGTGCAATTTTAAAGTTAATAAAATAAAATAAAATTTTTTCTTTATTTTAAGTGATTTGTAATTTTAATAAACACTTTGACGATTTATTTGTACTATTTTCGTAGAAATTTATTTCTTATCCGAGTTACACATTTCGCCGCCAGATGGCTCATGCCCATTTGTTGGCTCCCAATGAAGAATTCGAATAAGAATATTCCAGATTAGATATCGAAAGTGAGGTTATGTGATATTTTAAAATTTTACGTTAACGTACACTTTAGATTCGTTAAGTACTGTTGTGTGCTAATATCATTAAGTTATAATAATAGTAATATTGTTATTAAAATTAACGATAAATAGAATGGTATTTGGTATTTTTTTTTCACTCGGAAATTCGTCGTGTGAACTGCTTATTGTGTAAGTAATCATGGTTATAACTTTCTTTCTTTTTAATAACAAAGTATAATAAAGTTATCAATAAAATGAGGTAACTAGACATATGAGAGTAAATAAAATTTTATTACTTCGACATTGAGTGCATACTACTACTGATATGAATTTATAAATTTTACTCTTACGTATTATTACTTCTATCGTTTATTGACAGATATGTGATTTTGAATATTTTATGCACTATAACTAAAGTTCCACGATAAAAAGTAGTAAGAAGTTTCAAGTCCAATTTATTTGATACTTTTTAAATTATAATCAACGTTTGGAGATAAGTTTGAATTATAGATTCATTTGATGACATGTGGAGACCAAGTTAAGAAATTCAGTCTACATGCTCACTGCGAATAAATTAATATTGCACACATTTATATACTCTTTTAGAAAATAACCACAGGTCCAAGATCTGACACATGATCAGATGAATCCTGGTGAACATGGGTTCAAGCTTGATCACGAACATTAGTCCAAATCTACTTGAAAGTCTTTATGATGACTTTGTCCTAGATTTGGCATACAACCTTGGCCCAATGTTGGATGTCAAGCTTGGACAGATGTTATTTTAATTAAAAAATTTAATTATTAAGTCTTTCGGTTGGTTTTAAGGGAATACTTTAAGTAATTGTCAGGATATGTTTGCACAAGATATTTGGATATTTGATGTGGTGTGTTAGAGTATATTGGAGAATATTTTAATTAAAATATAATCAATATTCTTTATAACAGAGATGTATTTTATTATTGATTGATTGTGCAAAGGTTTAATTCTCAATGCTCAGCCACCCTAGTCATACTTGAGCTTATTGTCAGACTTGGCAGTTTCTTCATGTTTGCATTAATTATAACACACTTGGGATTTGCTCTTTCTCAAGACCTCTGGATTGATGTTATCATTTAGACATTTCTCACACCTAGACCTACATTGGTTATCATATAGTACAATGATGATCGTGACGTTGAAAATGACTGAATGATAACACCAATCCAGAAAACCTTTCTATGGGAATCTTTTGTACACAAACATGTGATGTCTTGGTAGGAATTAACATTGGGAAGTTGCTAATCCATTCTTGGATCATCATTGAACTGATGTGGTTAGTTTTGGTCTAATGTTAGGCTAAAAAGAAAAATATAATACCTTTCACATTGTCGTAGAGTCCATGATGCAATGATCCAAAGTGATACCATAAAAACTAGCAATACAGTGCCCGGACAAATGGTCATCAGTGTTTTGAGAACGAATCTTGTATTGAAATTGATGCGATTCAAGGCACCTATACTTCGTGACGAGGCATCAGTAAAGAGTTTTGAATGTAACAGCATCACTCGACATATGAGGTAAAGGCGTAAAAACATCGGAAGTGAGAGAGTAACATCATAAGGTACCCATTGTGATCCTATGTCACCACCTTTGTTTGCTAGTTTGGTCGTCCACAGGAAATAATATTCGCCAGGTATTGGATGAATTGCACATATTGCTAATTCTATTGATATTTGGGATATTCGTTGCCACGTCATTGCAATTCGCCAATCATCCGCACAGTTATCGATCATGAACAACTGTAATCAAAAAAGCATCAATTTTATTTTGTATCTATTGGATGACTTAACTGATGAATTATTAAAAATGAATTTTGCCAATAATTATTATTTTAATTAACGATTTGCTTTCAATTTATTGTGTTATATTTCTGAAACACAATGTAGGTGGATTTGTAAAAAAGGATAGAACGAAAGCATAGAGTTATGAAAAGATGTCAAACTAATTGGGGTAAAAAATGGGGTAAAATTTTACCCCATATGAAGTAATTTGTTTATCTGATAATTTTCAAAATTTTTGCATGGGAATTTTTATTTATTTATATTTATTTATTGTGACATTTCTTCTGCGTAAATTTTACCCCTTTATTAGAATATTATTGAAGAAGTTTCCATTTCTGATTCGATTTGAAGTTGAGCCTTGACATTTTATTGCTCAGGATATGAAGTAATATTTTTTTTTATCAATTTATTGTGCTTCAAGATTTGTCACAATAGAATAAATTTCAATCACCACATAGAGCCAAATTTATATTTATTCACCAAATATTTTTTATGTATACAGCAGACCACAAAAGTTTTTTACCCCTACTCCATTTTTGATTATTGATTTTTACTGGGTAGTAACATTTACATTATTTTTTTATTTAATTGGATGATTTTTATGATTCAATTCTCTTCTTTTAAGTGAGATAAAAAGAAAATTTAATACGATTTTTTTTTTCCAAGCAATGAAAGTTTTTTTAAGACATTTGAATTACGTCGTAAACTGAAATCTATTTTCAACTATTATTTCTATAAAACTTTTTTGAATAATTTTTTTCATGAATATAAAATTTTTTTTTTGCTTTCTCATATTAAAAATAGCAAAATAGGATATAATATGAGCCTTAGAAAAGATCGAAGACTACTAATAGTTGCGGATAAGGGTATTGAAAGATCATAAAATTTCATTATAGTAAAACTTCCATTCTCTCTAATGAATAATATTTTTTTTTTTTTATAGATCCATATTTTTTTTCCAACATCAGTTTTCTTTGAACTCCCTTTTTTTTTTTCGTTCCTTGCAATGTCATTCTATAAAACTTTTCATATTCATCCCCTCGTTAAGCCAAGCCCAAGTCTTTTATCCCTGAGTATTATGTGAACTAATCTCAAGCCGGATACTTGGTAGGGAAATACGATGGGCGTGATTGTCATGAGAATGACAGAAATTACAAGTCATGATGTGAAAATGGTCTTGGTAAGTTTTGGTATGTCTTTGAATTCAAGTATAAAATAATTAAATTCTTACTTACATATTTTTCTTCTACTTGATATTATGTTACGATTATTACTTATATTTATTATAAAATTGTACTCACTAGCTTTCAAGTAGAACAACTCAGTGTATAGTCAGACATTTAAGTAATCCATGATAAAAATGAATGAATGAAAGATCATTTACGTCATGAAGAAGAAAAAGATTGCAAAGTTATAATGAAAACACAGATATAATATTTAGGGTATAAAAAAGAAATAAAAGTTTGAGATAGGAATTAAAGCTGAGCTTTACTAATCTCAAATCATCTCAATTTTTTTTTCGTCAAAGTGTGACCATCAATTCTTGTTTTCTGAAGTATATACCATCACTTTTCTAAATATTCATAAATATTTTTTATATAAAATAAACCAATAAAAAATGTACACTTTGGCGAAAAAAAAATTCTGAAATGATTCAAAGTTAGGAAAGTTTAGTCTTTAACAGAAGATTAGAAGAGAAGAAGTTAATTTCATAAAACATAAGAGAATTACAATTGTACGACAAACTCTTTTCGTTAGTTCTGTCACGTAGAGACGGATTTTATTGAAACTTCGAAAGTGTATACAATTCAAAAGTTATAATTGATTAAGAATTTTTTTTTCCACATCATTGATCGTTATTTCAGCTAGTATAAAATTTAAACCTAATAAATTACTTCATAAAATAATTTTATCTTCACGTTAAACAAAAATTAAATAAAAAATTTAAGTGATAATATAAAGATTTATTAACTGTAAGTTAAGTATTAATAATTTTTAGTGTTAAAAAAAAAATTATTATGTCACTAATAATTTTGATGTTGTTGATAAACAGTATTATAGTAGTATTATTGTCAAATGTAGTTTGTTTCATCATAAAAGTTTTCATGTGGGTCAGCAGGACACTTAGTTAAAAGGAAATCTAGAGAAAATTTTATCAGGATGTTTATTATATATATATATATTTGAAAAATAAAATTTTTATTATTGAAAATATATATTTATATTGAAATAAATTTTAATATTTCACATTTATTTAATGTGTGTATTTATCAGGAGATGAGAGAAAATACCATAAATATCAACTATGAACTCTAGAACTACCTTAGAAGGTTTACTGTTGATTGACATTATGGGGAATATAAAATATTTGGATGTAAACTTATTTAATCTCACAAGCTAAAAGCTCGTAAAAAAGAAATAAAAAAAAAAAAGATACCATTGACTAGTTTATATCAATTGTGACAACAGGGTTCGTGGGGTATAGCAGTGTAGTCATCAGTAGTAATGTCAGACTAAGCTTAAGTAGTTTTCTAGAAGGATATGGAATTTTTACGAGACTTTTAACGAGAATTTAGTAGAGAGAATGTATGTTTGAGGGAAAGTAAACATTAAGAATACACTATTTACTTTATCTTCATATTAAATCTATCATTCTTTCTGCTAATGAAGATCCGTTGGTGGTCTTGGGTAAAAAAAAATGAACTTCATTAGCCCAGGTTTTTGTTAGGAGTATAAATTAACTAATTAATTCCTGTTAATTGTGATTTTCAGTGTAACAAACTCATACCAACTGTTCAAAAAGAGAAACAATATGTTGAATTTGCTCAACATTTGGGAGTAGTCAAAAGGAAATGGTATATACAGAATTGGTTTAATTTAGTGGAAACAATGTGGAGGTGGTGAAAGAAAAAAATAGTTTTAACATCTATAACTACTCCAAGTAATTATATTTTTATATAGTTTATATATATATTAATTAAAATACACCATAGATTTTGGCAGTACAAAGTATTATTGTTGCTTTAATTTAATTATAGATATTAAAATAATAAAAATTCTCAATTAATTTAGATCAAGTTGATCTTCATACCGGGAATTATTCAAAATATTTCAAAGTCATGATAAAAACTCCAACCCTTTATCTGTCTTGGAAGTAGGAAAAGGTCTTTTGAAAAGAGTTGCTAGAGAAAAGAGATAGCTAGGAGTGAGAACATAAGATGATAGTATCTTTGATGAAAAAAAACAGGAAAGGTTTTGACTGGTTATGTCATGAAAGTATGAAAAAGCTTGCAAGGAAGCAGAATAATTTCAGCTATTCATTTACAGGATCAAAGAAGTCGTAACAGTTTTTAAAAAAATACTTTTATAATCCATAACATCCGAAAGTTGAGGTTGTTGGAGATCATTCTATTCCAGTATAAATGAAAGAAATCGAATAAGCAGCAAGTATTAAACTAATAATAAATAAGATTCTTAAGGTTAGTAATTTCCATAGACAATTATAATAAAGACTGGGTTTTATAAAGTTATATAATAATCATCTTCTATAGACACTTGATATTAATTTATTATCATCATTTAGGAAGAACATTTAGCTCAATAATTTCATACCAAACTAACAAGATTTTCTAAATTTAGACCTAGTTTTATTAGTTATCAATAATATACTACTTTTTAATAGATGGTGATGATTTTTTGTTATTATCTTTCATAGATAACTAAAATCGATGGTCTAGCGATTGAAGGTTGTGTGTTTTAAGGCCAAACAGAATTGAGTATATCAACGTAACCTCGGAAAAAAGATTAAAGGTTGCTCTATAGATAGGCCAGTTAATAGAGTAAGAATAAAGAGATAAATCGATAGTAAAGTCTAACATCGTTGTATGATTAAATATGTAATAAGATAGCATTTTTTAAACTAAAGTAATGCAGTTTATAGCTAGCTTACTTTTCTCACAGTTATTTTTTTCAAATTCTTCTATATTACACTGTTGGATCCCCAATGACTGGATCATATTTTATATAAACTAAAACGATTCATTTCTTGATAACTAAGTAAGTACATGATGCTATAAAATATTTGTTGTGTGAGTGATTTAGGATCTGATAGATTCTAAGTGTATTAGAAACTAAGGAAAAGGGCTTTTAGTTAAAGGGTTGGTCAAAAGGTCCAAGTGAGAGGTTGAAGCCAAGCTCGTAGGGCTAGAGTAACTGGTTTTATTCAAGGGAAAGTTGGAGACATCTAGAGGGTCCAAAGTTCACCTTTTAGGAATCAGAGATGATATATAAAGGACTTTGGATGGACATAAAAATGGGATTTTTCTATAGAGAAATCCTAACTTTCTGAAACTATAAAACTGATGTTTCTTTAAAAATATATAAGTAGATAGGTAAGGTATATAACACCACATAACAAGTCTATCTATATTATTTTGTATTGTTGATGTTAAACTAAAATAAAAAGCAATGGGCAATTGAAACATATCCAAATGCTTGTTGTGATTTATCAGAAGTGTAACAAAATATAAATGGTCTGAATAAGAAGATTCTTGTTACTGGAGCAATATTTTAATGGCTTCTAGTTCAATGATTTATGAATTCTCAAGAGACTTTTTCGTGCTTTTCCATCGACAATGTTTCTCTTGGCAACGTTTGGTGTTATAACTTTGAAGGGATTGTGTGTGGTTCGACTACTGAGTAGACATAAAATAAAGAGCTAATAAAGGTTAGAGAGAAAGAAATCGATGTGACACGTGAGTTGTACCAGGAAATCGGTAGATACCAAGGACTCTAGTATTATATTACATCGTCATCGTTCTTTTAAGTGGAGTAAAAACGTCTGACTATAAACTGCATTCAATCTTTTTAGTCAAGGTATATATCAATTTATTTTAAAATTTTTTTAACCAAATATTTCATTTCTGCTGATGATTTAGGATATGGCTTTTGAAATAAACAAGATTTCAAGTACCAATAGAAGATTGAAATAAATATATAACATCAATAAAACTATTGGAGAGTGGTGTTTAGATATCAAGAACTCAACAATATCAGTTACCAAATCCAAAACAAGAAACTCAAGTTGGAAACTTCGAAATGGGTGCCAGTTGATTCTGGACCTGGAAGTTGGATACTTTTGGTATTAATAACTTTATGGTTGCTTTTTGTTTGATTGCTTGTCAGAATAATGATTATCACTGAAATGGGCTTTCTTAATATCATCAAACTTTTTGGGGTACTTTTATCTAGTAAAAATGAGCAGGTGATTTTTTACCAAGTATTTTTGAAGCAGTGGTACTGATAAAGTTGAGTAAATATTCAACCAGTTCTATGTGCTGCTATCATTAAGCTCATTTTTATTTGAGTTATTTGAATACTTATTCAACATCATCAACTCACTTATTCTCTTGATAACGTACTGTCTTCTTTAATTTTATCTCCAGCACTTGGTTCCATTATCTAACAGTATTTTTATCGTCTCTAATATTTGCTATCAATTATTATTATTATTATTATTTCCAAGCAGAACATTTTATTGAACATCTTGGAAATGAAGTCAAGATCATGGATCCTTCATTCTTAAATTTTTTCTGGAACTTTAACTAAATTTAGTTATTTCATTTTTAAATATGATACTACATATTAGCAAGTATAAAATTTAATATACTTTTCTTTCTTACACATGATTAGATATGATCATGCATGCATCGATCTATAATATATGGTTCTAACTTTTTTATTTGCATAATGCATGCATGATGATTGATCATGTATTTCAAAGAACATTATCTTTGTGTTGATTATGAATATTTATACGTTAAAAAACTCATAACGCTCAATTTTTGTTGAAGAAACTTTTTTTATAGTTTTAGTTCTAGAATATGATGATGTTGAAATATGCTAATATTTTTTAAACACCTAGTAAGTTTAATTATTTTATAGAATGAATTAGATAAGATTAAAGATAGTAGCATTGTGCATGGATAGATAGAAAAAATAAAGAAGGAGAAAATTTTTGCAATTGTTTAAAATAAATAAATAATTAAACTAAAACTCTCTTCTAACCTTTTATAATAATCTAAATTCCTAACATTATATTTGGCTTCTTGTTTTTCAGACTTCTCAAATATAAAATAAAAACTAAAAAGGATAACGAAACCTAGTTGATATAAAATTAAGCCTTTGAAATTCAAATGATGCTGAATAGCAGTAGGAAAGGAAAAAAAAATTTAAGAATTTATGTTTAAGTTATAGTACTTCTTTGTAATCGTGATATAACTGTCGAATATCAAGAAGAGTATTACAAAGCAAAAGAATTTTCACACTAATACTAAGCTTCGTAAATATTCTTATAGAAGAGTGCGTTTAAAAATTTACTCGAAGAAATGTCTTCCTTCCTCAAACTAGTAAATACTTTCTATCTTTTTTTTTTTGTGAAGAATAAAAAAAACATTTTTTCATCTTGTTTTGTACTTCCAAGTTTTCTTAAAAGAAATATTAATTGAGAAAAAAGTATTAGTTGGATTGCAATTTTGATATAACTACAAAACTCTTTTACATACAAAAAAGTTTTCTTAAAAAAAAAACAATTTTTATTTATGAAGAAAATTTTATTCAAAAGCAAAAAAAAATGAAGTGAAAAAATTCATCAGAACTTTGGAATATTTATGTAACAATTTTTCTGATCAATTATTATTATTATTATTATTATTATTATTATTATTATTATTATTATTATTATTATTATTATTATTATTATTAATAAAAATATTAAATTAATTATTTATTTTATTATGGATAACATAAGCATGAGGTTTATTTTTTAAATCATTTGATGTATTTCAAAGGAATAGAAGACAAATTAATCAATATGCAGAAAGATAGTGTGTATATTTAATAAAAAATATTAATTTTATTTCAAAGGACCCAGGGTCTTTTTTTTTTTATACATCCCAGAGTGATTAAAATATCTCAAGTATTTTGTTATCAATATATTTATGAAGCACCAAAATAAATTTTCATGTTTCATTAAAATAAAATTGAATAAATGATTCGATTAATTTAATAATATGCTTTATTGATTAAATGAGTATTCATTAAACTCGAGAACCGTGTAATTGATGAGTATTATTCAATTCCAATATATTTCATTTATTCAGTCAAAGGGTTTTTTTTCCAACGAGTATCTAGATTTATAGTCTGCAATATTCGTAATAATATTAAATTACTTCAAAATATTTTTTTATTCAACAGAATATAATTTATTTTTTTTTTCTCAGCAAAAAAAAAATTTTCATACAAATATTTCGACTCTAAAAAAAAGTTTCAAATAAATATGTAAAAATTCTTTTGCAATAATAAAAGTTTCATTTTTTAGATTAAATGATAAATAATTTAACATGTGAATTCACTTGAAATTATGTAGAATACTTCTAGTCAATTTCAACTCTGTTGAGTATAATCAAAAGTATTCAAGAAAGGGATTTAGGGTCACCCTCTAATTGCATAATAAAATATTGCACCCGGTAATTTTGCAATTCCTTCATACCGAGTATCCACTTGAACAAGTCAACTACGTGATCGGAAAATATTTGAAACACAATTGGGAGGAAATACATGGAGAAGTTGACAAAAAGCTTCGCCTAAAAATATAGATTTTGGCAAAGAACTCCGTTTCGTAAGTGTTACTTCATTGTATATTTATTTCTTTAGAGAAATTCTGTTTTTTACATGTTGTAATTTTGCTGCAGTATTTCCATCAGACTTCTACAACTTGATTAAAAATTGGCAGCTTTATTGAAAATTAACATGAGTGCATTTTAAATACATGGATCTTAAAAATTGTTCTAATTATTAACATGTGAGATCGTTACTTAATTATTACTTTGTGACGTCAGACTCCATAGCAAAAGTATCGTAAATATTTGAGTTGATTTGATTTTAATTTATAATCAACCAGAGGCTCTTGAGGTTCAAGGCCACATAATCAGTATTTTATTTAATAAAAAATCATCTATTAATGTAGTCTTTAAAACAAGATTTTTCAGCATGATATGTTTCATATCATTACTGATTTAATTTGTAATAAATATCCGAATTTTATATTTATCTATTATTTATGTATACATATACTTAAGTCATAAATGTATAATGTTATTGCTACAACAAATATGTCTAAATAGGAACAGATAAACCGCGATCATATTAAACCACTAATTCAGGTGTGTAAAACCACAATCATGGAATCTATTAAGTTGGTATGGCACAACTGATATCTCTCCAATAATAAATGTCAGCTATTCTGACTCTTAAATTATGGATAAATACCACACAAAATAAAATGTACTTTAAAAGTGTGTAGAGTATACAGTTTGTTTATGACGTTTAATATTGAACACACTTGAAGTGCATTGTAACTTTACACTCCGAGATTTAATGTGCACAGAAAAGAAAGATTTATATGCTGAGAATACTTTATTTTATGTCGACACATTTTTCTATCAGAAAAAACGTGATTCCACTAGAGAAGTGTGTGTGTGGGGGTGTGAAGGGTTGGAATGCTAGTGTTGTTGAGGGGTCTTTACGACTTGTGACCATACTATAACTGCCTTTCAGTAACTAACGTATAAAATTTTACTCACGTTTAGGTATACATGTGTTGATATATTTAAAAGTTTACAGCATTGACCTTTACTCACTTTTGTAATCAACTCCAAATAATTTGTTTATAAACATTTTTTTTATTGAGAAGTTTAAATAATATTTATTTCAAATATTATTGTTGAAGAGTTGATAATTTTATTTTAATGTCTTTAAATAAATTATTAAATGTATTTTAAGCCAAGTTCAAAATGAACAATAATAAAATTTAAGAAATGATTTTTATATACTTAAAATGTGTTTTAGTTTAATGTTTGATCTAAAAAAAAATATGAAAGGTATAAAACTATTACGTAACAAAATTTATCTGTATATTTTTCAAACACTAAATTTCAATTACACACTAAATTTCTGTGTAGTATGTGAAATTAACACATACAATCACACACTTGGATTTGTAGTGTATACAATATTGAGGAAGATGATCTGCAGAAATGTTTCTACATTTTTTTAAATAAAATAAATAGAATTTAAGATTGTATAAAGATCTTATTTAAATTTAACTCAAACTTTGTAAATTCAATTGTTCATTATTCTGACTAAGTGGTATTACATAATACTGTTGAGATGCCTTGACAGTTTAATCAACACCTCCTACATGTTCTCCAACAAAATCTTTTCTTTCTTTTTGAATATTTTCAAATAATTTATTCCTTTTACCAATGTTTAGCAATAATAAGACTAAAGTTTTATTGTTTTTATGTCTATCATAATTGTTGATGTGCCTTTTATGAGGAAACTTTTTTTTTCTTATAGAGGCTAAAAATTTTCTTAGGGTAAAAAACTTTAGTCTTGTGAATAAACTGAAACGGATATTGCTCTAGCAAAGTTTCTTAACAATATTATAACGTTTTATATTTCAACGTGCTATAATGACATATTTAATTAACGTCAAAATATAAATGAAAAATAATTGATTACTTTGGTCTGGAGGTAGGGTTGAATTTGGAATAAGTTTTTTTCTTCAGATTATTGATTTTCAATTCAACTATATAATTTCAGACCAGAAAAAGAAACAGAATGTAAATGTCCTTCGATATATATCTATCTAAAAAAAATACGAATGGACTGATAAAACTACTTTAAATAAATTTTTTTTTGTTGTCGAGTTCAATTTAGAAGACATGAAGAGATCAAGTAGATATAGCCTGTTAAGTCTCCAATAGCAGTTGGACTATCAAATGACAAAAGTTCATGTCCAGATTTGCTATTTAAAAAAAGATCTAGGAATAAAAGTATCGGATTCCAGTCAACTTGACCAGAATCCCTAAAAGATAAGGACACCCTCTGATGGGGGAATAATACCCCTGGAGGATATAAAGTTGTCTCAATAAGTTAGGCTCCTATAAACTTGATTCTCAAGTGGTGAAAAGATGAGCTGGACACCCTCCATTAGAGGTAGAAAGGCAATTGCATTACGATAAGATGCTGGTTCATGCAATTACCAAGAGTGGTTGCAGACATACCATTCCAGTCTGTTTGTACAAATTATACCACCTGATAAGATAGCAAGTGAATGTTTCGGGTAGGTTGCTTTACTCTAAAATTACAACTCTGGTAGTGACAAGCCAGTCCCAACGTGACATAGAAATTGTTTGAAAACTTTATGCAGAACAAAATATAAAAATTATGTGCTTTGTGCTAGACTTCATTGAATGTTGGTGACATCTAGACATCATGGGAAGAATAAACTTTTAATATATTGATGTAAAAGTTTGTTTAGGGTAAATTAACTGATGTAATTAATGCATGTAAGTGGTTTGTATATATATATTAAAATTTATAAATAATTGCTAAATTTTTGTTTTTATTCCATCATTTATTTTTATTAATTAATTAAGATATGTAATTTTTTATTGTGAATTAAACTTTAAAATAGTAAATGTAATTCTATTTATTAATGAATTGTTAAGTAATATTTTCTACTTTAATTCGATCTCTTCCTACATCTGTGACATAAGTAAAATAACAGTCAAAGATATCAGTGTTTATTTTTCCATATCATACATACGATTTCCCAATGTAGATTTTTCAATAAATATTATTTTACAGCTAAAGAAAAACTGATCGAGTGCAAACCAAACTCAACTATAAAATCGAGCAAAATGTGAATATCAATTTCTTTAAAATTGTGTGGCTAACAACCATCACTATAGCTTTTTCCTCTATTGAAACAGTTTGCTATAAAATCGAAAGTAATTTTAGGATATACAAATAAAGCCCTTTTATTCAATATCCCACATGACCTATCAACAAAAAAACAATTTTATTTTTCTTTCTATTTTCAACCTCTCTCAAAATCTATGTTAAAATAATTTTAAATAATAATTGCTAAAAAAAAAAAATGTAGGTCAATTATTAAATGCCGAATTCTTAACTCTCTTCTTCAGATAATTTATCTAGTAGAAGACAGACGAATAGAATTTGAATGAACTCATAAAAATTTTATTTGTCCGGATTTAATATCAAAGCCTTGTAAGAAAGGATTTTATTAAAATGAAAATTTCATAAATTTATGATGTAAAATTTTATTTCTAAAGTACTTTGTTCAATATTTAATGAATAAAATAACAAAATTACATGGAGTTACACGCTCTACAACATCAAAGGTATTTCCTCTGTTCAAAATTTAAACCTAATTTTCTAATTCCCCACAGCACCGTTGCCGAAATATGAGCTTTCCGCTAGTGAAGTAGAGCCTCGTTTGCCATGCCTATTGATCCGAACCCTGTGATACTGTTTTTCAACCAACCAAAGAGTGTTATAAAATCATTTAACTCCAATATTCTTTTATCAACTAACTTTTAAAACCATAAAATAGAATTTTTGTGGATCCAACTCTTTTTTTGGGTAACC